TCAATAGATTCACGAAACGTGAACGCAATGAACATAAATCATAGTAAATATGTATATGTAGTATAGCCTTTGTTTTAATGGTTCGCAAAATTCATTTCCATCAATGGAAATACAGTAGAGTAAAATAGAGTAAGTTATAAACTTTCTCAATGCGCACAATGTTTGAAACTTCGTTGAAATCAACTCGTACAAATATTTTAAAAACAAATAGGTGCAATGTACACAAATTATGGTACAAGTACTAGAATTTACTTTCTCATTTAGCATAGTGTCTGCATTTGTAACAATTTGCGAAAACGCTATAAATTACGTTTGCAAAGCATATTCCTGTATTCTTCTCGCTGCTCGGTTCGGGCATGGCAAAAGGTTAACAGGATTGGGACTGGGAGCAGGTGTCTTCGGGACAGCTCTGCTATTATATTTCTTCGTTTCCTCTTTTTCACGCAGTTCAGCGTGGCAACTGCAAGTGCAGCAGCAGAATTTTCAATTCAGCTTATTTGTTTGTTTGTACTTCGTTTATCGATCATAAAAAGAGAGGTGAGAAAATTCTCGCTCGTTTCACTTTACTTTCATTTGAGGACTTAAATGATCGCTCGTGGGTGCAAAGACTGGTGGAAAATCATTGGTCCGATGCGCAAGTGGCGCTTCCGGTTGATCTACCCAACCGTTTGAAAGACTCGATTACCTCTACTGTGACCTGTGACAAGCACCGGTAGACAGTTCAATCTATTTTACGTCATTCAACGTGAAAGCCATACCTTTACGGTTAAAGATCAGGCGTCGAATTTCCATTGAAGGGGGAGGTTCTCGAAATGGGGGTCAAATTTTTCAGATAGACGCCACACGAATGATGGCGAACTCGGTCAAAGGTATTACACCGAGCTTTAACGAAATTTGATCCATTTGATTGGAAATGTTAATGATATGCAATTTGCCCGGTGGTGAGTTATAACCACTGGGAATTGAGTCCAGCAAGCGTGTAGAATTTAAATCGCTTTCTGCAAAGTTCCGCACAGCCATCTGTAGCGTACGCATTATATGTATAAGATGATAGCTTTAAGATGTAAATTTCCAAATACATTTTCTACCGCATTGCAGAATAAAGTCTTGAGAAAATTTGAACGTCTTGAATTTATTCTTTGTTGACGAATCACTCCTATTCCGATTATGTCATTAATTAGTGAACGATTTAAGTACACAGGGCGAGAAGGGGCAGAAATAGGTGAGAATGCTGGATGGATATAATATGGGAAAGTTGTGTAAGCCTCTTGATCCCTCCACTATTTATCCATGCAGAAGTACTAGCGTAACCCCTCTAAATCTCCCCTAACCACGAGTAGGACCGTGCAACTTTCTCCTCCTCCGTTTCTCTACTGCGCTCTACTCCCCTCTTTCGCGTATTTCTTCGAGCTGCTTGTTACCACGGTCCCTTATCTTTCGCACAATGGCCCTTGCTCTTTTCGATTGAGCGTTGCCTTCAGCGGGGAACTCGGACGCTCGCAGATCGATTCCAGAGGAAATCGGAAACGAGATTGCGAATCAAGAGAAAGAAACTTTATACCATCGCAAATGTCAGTCGACAGAATTATGAGATTCCATTTGGCAAACTGTTCCTCCTGTTAGGCAAAGAGTCGATCTTGCCCGTAACTCTGCTGCGGATTCGCTAATTGAAAGAATCGAAGCGCTCGCAGCGGGATCATTCCGGATCGGTGTTTGAATTAAAGTTTTATGCTCGTCTGTGGGTACAAGTTTGTTCCGAGAAACGTAGAACTTTCAGAATCCTCGTAATTCTTTGAGCCAAAATTTGTTTAAAGGACACTTCGCTGAACTAATATTTCAATTCATTCTCGTTAAGAACGTGTCTAATCTCGTAATAATCAGACACCGTTTTTAAAACGAACTCCGCTTTCGCAGAATTAATTACTGCAAAAGATCCATGTTATCCGCAAGCTATTACCGGTCTAATAATAGTCCGTGCTTAAGTAACAATCCGAGCCGCGACACGTCCATTTTCCGCTTTGGCCAGGCGGAGAACGATGATACGAGGTTGTCGAGATCGTGTTCTGAAGTGGCTAACAAACGGAGAGGCACGACGATCGGTCATATCCCTTGAGACTTTTATCCATAGAACGCGATGCACACGTTGCATTATTAAAGCGGCGCGCAGGCTGTGTAACTCCATTCACAGTTGCCCGCCACGTTTTATCTCGCTTCCTGTTGCAGCTTTGAAGAGATTTCGTGAAATGAATGGTCCCTTTCGGCAGACGCTTCATTTTTTATGTAGAGTATATCAAAGCAAGGAGTGACTAGTTTTCGGTAGTAAAGTGTTTTCGACGCATAGTACCCTTATGAACAAATTTCACTGACAATACGTCGATTTATATATCGTCTTTCGATGATCAACGACAAAATATGCAAACTAAAATTTTTATTGAATTTAATAACGTTTTAATTATGCGTTTAATTAATTGTATTAAATGAATACTTTAATAATAGAAATGTTTAATGTATCTCGTTATTACAGCCACCAAAATATTATATCTCCGCCTTTCATCACCTACATAATTCGAAACCACGCATGTGAAATTTAAATCGAGGTAGTCTCTACATTCATTGTACTCTGTAGTAGATAATACTGCTGCCTAGCAGCATAGGAATTTTCGTTTGTCGTGTCATTCATATTGTGCATTGTGCCTTCTTATTTCCATTGTTCGTTGCTAATAATTCGTCCCCTTTTTGCCTATGCGTGTGCTATCGGCTATCGATATTGCACTGTATTCAGAAAAATATATAAAGAAAAATATGTAAATGCTCTGAATTGATTATTGAAATCGATAAGGTAAGAGAAGGAAATCTACTCGTCGGACGTTTTGCCTTTCATTCACTAATCATTCCTGCCGAGGGGAAGAAATGGAAACAGGGTGGAGTGGTAGAAAGAATATCGAAAGTTCGTCTCATTTCGAACACTAATCCTGGCGTTGTCACCGTTCGGAACAATGCCGGTCCAGGAATCGATGTGGACCAATAGAAATATATTTCGAGGCACGAAAACGGAATAATCTCGATTAATTACCCCACGATCAATATTAGAAATTAGTGTTTCATATTTACGTCACATAAGTTATTCGTTATCTGAGATCTTTTCAGAAGAATCGCGAATTTTTTAATACCCGACCATAAGAAATCCGCGCATCATCGAGGTACGTGTCGCTGAAAGTAATAAACCTTATTTCTTGTCTTTCCACATGAATAATAAAGTTAGTGGTCATCACACGGACCGATGATAAATCTTATAAAACATCACAAATGCATTGCAATTTTGTATTAAAATTTATAAATGCTTCATGTTAAAAAACACAGAGTTAAAAAAGTAAAAAAAAA